ATGAGGTGCAAAAATTTGTATACTATATCCGGATTTCGACAATTAATGTCTTTTCAGTGATATTAGGAATCGAAACGGTATTTGGAAGGCCATATAATTTACCTCAATTTAGGATAGACTCTTGAATTTTGAAGAGTCGAAATAGGATGAATAGATCATATAAACCCGAAGGAAAATATCATACAAGCCCAAACGAAAAAATATAAACAATTCTAAATTGACAACAACGTTCAAACCGATGATTGCGTTGGATAAAAACCGCAATTTTTTTACATGTGCATGCAAAACAAATTTCTTGGTAGAGGGGTCAAAAACCGGACCAAACAACATTTTCCAAAAGACCAAAAAAGTGAAAAAGTATATTTAAACAAAACGCATTTGACTAACAGGTCGAACAACGGATGTTCGTAAACCCTGCTAACTGCAATGGCGATTGCCAAATAAACGGATCACTAGATGTAACAAAATGAATCTTTATTTTTAATATTATACCAAACAGAAAACACTAAAATTACGGACAAGATGGTATACTGCAAACATGAGGTGCAAAAATTTGTACACAATATCCGGATTTCGACAAATAATGTCTCTTCAGTGATGTTAGGAATCGAAACGGTATTTGGAAGGCCAAATAATTTACCTCAATTTAGAATAGACTCTTGAATGTTGAAGAGTCTAAATAGGATGAACGGATCATATAAACCCGAAGGAAAATATAATACAAGCCCAAATGAAAAAATATAAACAAGTCTAAATTGAAAACAACGTTCAAACCTATGATTGTGTTAGATAAAAACCGCAATTTTTATACATGTGCATGCAAAACAAATTTCTTGGTAGAGGGGTCTAAATACAGCACAAACAACATTTTCCAACAGACAAAACAAGTATATTTTAACAAAACGCATTTGACTAGCAGGTCGAACAACGGATGTCCTTAAATCCTGCTGGTTTTTATCCAACGCAAAAAATTGCAGTTTTTATCCAACGCAATCATAGTTTTGAACGTTGTTTTCAATTCAAACTTGTATATATACAAGTCTAAATTGAAAACAACGTTCAAACCTATGATTGCGTTGGATAAAAACCGCAATTTTTATACGTGTGCATGCAAAACAAATTTCTTGGTAGAGGGGTCTTAATACAGCACAAACAACATTTTCCTGAAGACCAAAAAAGTGAAAAAGTATATTTTAACAAAACGCATTTGACTAACAGGTCGAACAACGGATGTTCTTTAACCCTGCTGACTGTCATGGCGATTACCAAATAAACGGATCACTAGATGTAACAAAATGAATCTTTATTTTTAATATTATACCAAACAGAAAACAATAAACTTACGGAAAAGATGGTATACCGCAAACATGAGGTGCAAAAATTTGTACACTATATCCGGATTTCGACAATTAATGTCTCTTCAGTGATATTAGGAATCGAAACGGTATTTGGAAGGCCATATAATTTACCTCAATTTAGAATAGACTCTTGAATTTTAAAGAGTCGAAATAGGATGAATAGATCATATAAACCCGAAGGAAAATATCATACAAGCCCAAACGAAAAAATATAAACAATTCTAAATTGAAAACAACGTTCAAACCTATGATTGCGTTGGATAAAAACCGCAATTTTTATACGTGTGCATACAAAACAAATTTCTTGGTAGAGGGGTCTTAATACAGCACAAACAACATTTTCCAGAAGACCAAAAAAGTGAAAAAGTATATTTTAACAAAACGCATTTGACTTACAGGTCGAACAACGGATGTTCTTTAACCCTGCTGACTGTCATGGCGATTACCAAATAAACGGATCACTAGATGTAACAAAATGAATCTTTATTTTTAATATCAAACCAAACAGAAAACAATAAACTTACGGAAAAGATGGTATACCGCAAACATGAGGTGCACAAATTTGTACACTATATCCGGATTTCGACAATTAATGTCTCTTCAGTGATATTAGGAATCGAAACGGTATTTGGAAGGCCATATAATTTACCTCAATTTAGGATAGACTCTTGAATTTTGAAGAGTCGAAATAGGATGAATAGATCATATAAACGCGAAGGAAAATATAATACAAGCCCAAACGAAAAAATATAAACAATTCTAAATTGAAAACAACGTTCAAACCGATGATTGCGTTGGATAAAAACGCAATATTTATACATGTGCATGCAAAACAAATTTCTTGGTAGAGGGGTCTAAATACAGCACAAACAACATTTTCCAAAAGACCAAAAAAGTGAAAAAGTATATTTAAACAAAACGCATTTGACTAACAGGTCGAACAACGGATGTTCGGAAACCTTGATAACTGCCATGGCGATTGACAAATAAACGGATCACTAGATGTAACAAAATGAATCTTTATTTTTAATATTATACCAAACAGAAAACACTAAAATTACGGACAAGATGGTATACTGCAAACATGAGGTGCAAAATTTTTTACACAATATCCGGATTTCGACAGTTAATGTCTCTTCAGTGATGTTAGGAATCGAAACGGTATTTGGAAGGCCATATAATTTACCTCAATTTAGGATAGACTCTTGAATTTTGAAGAGTCGAAATAGGATGAATAGATCATATAAACGCGAAGGAAAATATAATACAAGCCCAAACGAAAAAATATAAACAAGTCTAAATTGAAAACAACGTTCAAACCTATGATTCCGTTAGATAAAAACCGCAATTTTATACATGTGCATGCAAAACAAATTTCTTGTTAGAGGGGTCTAAATACAGCACAAACAACATTTTCCAAAAGACCAAAAAAGTGAAAAAGTATATTTAAACAAAACGCATTTGACTAACAGGTCGAACAACTGATGTTTTTAAATCCTGCTGACTGCCATATATATAAATATATACATATCACGATTTCTCATATCTTACTTAAATCCGTTATTAACAATATTAGTTGTTCTTTAATTTTTTTAAAATTCTATTCCTACTTTGTTTATGTACCTCTTAATCATAAGGAATCAAAAAACGAGAAAAGAAGGAAAAAAAAAAAAACTATTTTAAATTGTACAATTTTTTATTAAACAAACAGTTTCCTCCGAAAAAAAGTGGCTGCTATCATTATTGGTATTTAAAACGGACTGAAATCTTTTGACCACAAGCCGTGAAATTGTCGAATTCCGCTGTTAAATTATATTTAACTAAGAATTTGAGATTTTTAGAACGTTTGAGTCTTATATAGTTTTTGGGGTTTTAGACATATCATCAAAATTGGCTGCTAAAAACAAAGTGGCTGCTATCTTGATTGGCTGCTAAAAGTGGCTGCCAGCTTGAGTCTGGTCTGAATATGTTGTGGATATGACAGTTGGCGTTAACATTATCATATATTCACTGCTGGACATGTCTCACAAGTACCTAAATTAATACTTAGTATAGTGAAATGGATAGCTTGAATGTGTGTTTTTATTCATATTAGCTCCAGTGCAATTATTGTCGTTTACAATGTTTTCATTTAATGAATAAACAATTGTACTAGTATATGTAATATACAAGAACCGTTCATCATTAAACATAACTTTTATGGATAATATGGGATCGATCTTCGGTCATTGCCGATTCATTGGTCGGTTCATCGACTATTGCTGCGGAACAGGTGGATACGGTTTCGAAGATATGGGTGGAGACATGCAGGTATATAATTTAAGAGTAAGTATAAAATATACTTGAGTTACCTATATTTGACATGGGATGGGCCAGCGCTCAACATGTCACGCGTAGAGAGGTATAATATTTCGAAGTAACACGTGTTCTTCGAATTATGATTCGAGCTCTTGTCAATACTCTCTATTAAAGGCTATCTTTGCTATTAAGTTCACATTGTTTGAGGTTTCATTCAATACTCTACGAGTTATGTTTCTGATAGATTTTTACTCAAGCGGCTCGTAACTTTCTTCTTATGGTCTAAGTTATTTGAAGTCACAGTAATACATCTACACTCTATCGTATATTGCAGTTGCAGCGATAGATGCTCGAATAATGTGAATTTAATTAATTTATTTAATTTATTTTTTAAATGCATATCAATCATAAGCATGTTTCCCGTAACGCCAATTTTTATATTCTTTTTTGTATTTGTATTTATTGTGTTTTTATTTTGTTATGTATATGTATATATATCAAATATTTTTCATTTTTGCTTTATTTTGAGTTTTCCATTGGATTATTATTATTTTTTTTATTTTTATTTTTTTTTATATTAATTGAAATTACTTCATCAGTCGTTCTGGGTCTGTTTACATAAAAGGTTTGATTAATAGAGCGGAGATGCTTCTAACACACATTCAATCTTAAATCAGCTGGGGGAAGGTCATCTTCCGTTCAAATCTTTGTTTGAAAGAAACACGGCACATAAACTGTCGATTTATCATTCTGAAAAATAATACATTGCGATAAAAGTCGGTTGTCTTCTTTTAATTTGTTTCTCACATTAATTTTTAGAAAATAGCGTATAATGGTAAAAACGTATGTCAAACAACACCCCGGAGCCAAGTTAATATAAAACTGAGGTATAATTGTGAAATGTATACCATACATAGAAATGCTATTCTTTAGGGTTATTCAGATTTATTCTCAGGTTGCATTCTCATAGGGTTCATTGTACAGCTATATATTTAATCCATACACAGACTAATGGATCAATGACAACTTTGGGTTATGTTTTTTTTTCAATAAGAAAGAAACGAGGAGTTCTTTAGGGTTCCCCCTCAATCCTACCCTTTCATTTTAATGAAGATATGAATATACCAAAGGGAAATTTTAAATGCGGTCATAATTGGTTAACATTAACTGCATAGTGTCCTACAGAATATGGAAATGTTTACCTTGAGTTAAAACTAAGGACGCAAGTTGATACAATAGTTGGTCCGATAAGCTTATATAATTTCTCCCAGTGAATATGATATACCTATATGTGTATTTATCTGTGACAACAAATAATATATATATTAAATGGCGTTGACCTACTTGTATCCAAGTTGTCTGCAAGCAACAGTGGCTTCTTTGTCGTCAAAGTCGTAATCGCAAACTGTTCCCCATGTTCCGTTGTGATACATCTCTAATCTGCTTGAATTTATACGTACATCACCTTTGAATATATATAAAACGAATAAAAACTACGGAACAAGATAATACAATTATTTATTAATAAACAGTAAGCTTAGCCTTCATCGAAAGTTATTTGTAATGACTTTGAAAGAGAAGTTTAAGATCGGTTGACCTCCAAACAATTTTGACGATATCTACGCTTTTATACGTTCTTATTCGTTTTAGCTCGATATGTACCATATTTCTTTATTTCTATAAATTTATTCTACTGTAAACGCATTTCTTTTAAATAGTAAAATATCGTTAAGCAATATTTAGCATGGATACTTTGTGCGTAAATGTTTTGACAAGTTTGTGATATCGAAAACCCTGGTGTAATAATTTTTCAGTAATACAAAGATTTCTTTCTCTAAAATCAAATACGTTGTTTAATACATACTAGTACACGAGCGAATCGAGCAAGTTGAGAAAGATAAATACCATAAGATGGTAACAAGGGAAGGTTATCATCTAAAAAGGGATAATTAACAACAGGAAATAAAGAATCATCTCTTTTAACGTAAATTTTGACATTAAGCCTCCTGTTAAAGATATAGATATCAAGATCCAGGAAAGGGCAGTGTTCATTGTTAGTATTAGCTTTATTCAAAATCAGTTTCAGAAGGATATATCTCTTCAGTGTACACACTGAAGAGGTCATTATTGAGAGCCAATGTATCATCCAAATATATAAAGGTGTTATTAAATTTTTGTATCAGATGTTGTTTCGATGGGTCTTTGCTGGTTTTAGTCATTAATCGTAACTCGTAGCAATACAGAAATAGGTCTGTAATAAGTGGTGCAAAAAAAGTCTTGTTGAGATTAGCACCACGTCTTGAAGTTTTTGAATTAATTGTTTGTTGGAATACTATATCCCTGTTATCTAAAACCACCATAAAGAATCATCGGACGTCGTTGGACTCGTACAACACAATTAATGTCAGCAAACGTAGAACTTAAACTGCATGGTTGGAATAGTGAACTGTTTTCGATTTCAGCAAATAAGTGATTGGTCACACCAATAGCTTACACGTAAACTGTCAAATGGCAGACGGAAAACGAAATGTGCAACAATTTGTATAACTGAAAATGAGTTCGAACGTTTGTCGGGGTTAACATTTCTCGGGATTGTCCAAACAAAAATGTACAAAAACAGGTCTGAATAAATACACCAAAAACTGAAAGGTCAAAAGAAGCATAGATATGAATAACAAAACCAGCTAACGGAAATTTTTCTTGAGGGGAAATGAACCTTTATTTCTAATTTCTAAATTCAACAACAGCAGATGTGTATGTTATATGTCAAATCATGTCAGTAACATAGCACTGATAACTTGCATAAGATACCCTCTGATACTAACAGTCAACAAGCAGCGTATAAATGTGTTGCTTATGAAACATTTTGTTGATTAATCTTAACCAGAAAAGCTCAAATTAAAAACGTGAAAAGGCAGGGATGTGTAATTACTTGAAGAGCTTAATTACCATAAGGAAAACAAATAGGACAGCAAAAACCGTCCGATATCAAATAAGCAAGAGCAAGTTGTAATCTTAGTTTCAGCCCAATCATATAATTATTTGATCTGAAAATTAAAAAAGAAATATTAAAAGGGTCAAATTTCGTCAAAATAAGCTAAAACAATTGCTGATGTATTATAAGCTTGCAAGTCAATAATTCAGTTAATTTAAATCTGTATTCATGCAACCTTTCATTCAACGTTTAGTGGATATAGGGGTTGCGTTTGTATTTAGCATTGTGTCTAGATGGTATTGCATTAAAAAGAAAAAGAAGTTCAACATTGAAAAAGAGGAATAAAAAGTAAATTAACAAAAATACATGTCTTCACCATTTCGTTGACTGTTCTGGCCCACAAAAAGATCATTCTTCATTTTATACAAGAAAAACGATAATTTACAAATAAAAAAGACCTAGAATAATCACCATTACGCAAATGCACGTTCGTGTATGTCTATGTCTATTGATATTTCTTATTATATAGATTAGAAGGTCAACTCAATTGATAATTTTAGGCGTGTAGTCTAAAATAAGCACGAAATACTGATACATTATAGCGAGTCAAGGCATTTGTTATTTGGACCTACTTTCATTTTGGTCTATGTTTCAGTATGTTATAAATCAAATATAAAAATTCAGGTCAAATTGGTTAACTTGAATAAGACTGCTAATGCCCTTTCAATAAATAAGTGATGGTCATTGTCTCCTCAAAAGAAAAGTGGCATTATATTTATAACCAAAATAAGAATAATAATATTTGCGTACACTTAACAAGAAATATGAAAAAAAAGTATTTGAGTTTTTGTCGATAAATCTAGTGTTAAAAAAAACAACATTATCTATCCAGTTGTCCTGGCATCAGTGCCAAGTTCATCTAAAAATAAATGTCATTCTTATGATCTGATGCTGTAATTAGACTAACAAAAGATTGACAACTGAACTTTTTTTATATCAAACTTTATAGAAAGGAAGAGCTAGCTATATAGAGCTATAGGCAAAAAAGAGGTCTTTATAGTACTGCTGAATAAATATAGTTCACAACCAATTCTTTCAGGTAAATTTTACTTTTTGTCTGTTTACTTAAATTGTTTTGGTTATAATCCTCTTAAATGTTAAATATTTGATCTTTTAGCGTTTGCTCTCGAGCGTTTGTACCTGATGAAGGTTACTTCAGAACGGGCGTTGTGCTCAATGAAGTCATATTATCTTTTTTTAAAGTTCAGCAGGACAATGTTGCGAATTACATAAACTCAGAATGCATGCAGTAGTTTCGTACTTATCTAATCTGAATAATTTTATTCTATATCACCTTTTACCTTTCAAAAGACGTATTAAGTATACATTTTGACCACCATTTGATGTATCGAATCTTTTGATTGTTCTTAAATTTGTAAGTAGTGGTAGAAATTATGTTTAAAGAAAGTGTGTTTCGTTTGGTTAGTTATATAATCATGTAACAAATTCGTAACATTTATTTGTTAGAATAATGAACTGTCAAACTCAATTAAATACCCGATTAAAGGGGCGTAGGGTAGAGGTAAATTTTTGTTAACTTAGATACTAGTGTCTTGTCTTGTGGAGGGATAAATCCTACATCGTAATAAATCACTCTAACTCAAACAAAAATTTCCCTGAAACTGACATTATCAAGATGCTTGATTTCTTGATTGACAACATATTTGTTACGTTTAGAGGACGTATTTTTCAAAAAGTAATCGGAATTCACATGGGAACAAGCTTTGACCATCTTCTTGTCGACTTGTTTCTTTATTCGCATGAGGCGGGCTCATACAGGAACTTATAAGAAGTTAGCAGTATCATTAAACTTTATTTTCCGCTACATAGAAAGAGGGGCGAAAGATACCAGAGAGACAGTCAAACTCACAGATCGAAAACAAACCGACAATGCCATGGCCAAAAAATAAAAAGACAAACAGACAAATAAAAGTACACAAGACACAACATAGAAAACTAAAGACTAAGCAACACGAACCCCAACAAAAACTGGGGGTGATCTCAGGTGCTCCGGAAGGGTAAGCAGATCCTGCTCTACATGTGGCACCCGTCGTGTTGCTCAAGTGATGATGTTCCCTCACCAAATAATTCACAATTAGGTAACTATGTTGAAGGCATATGTCCCACCGAACTTGCGATAAAGGGATACAACAAATACAGTTAAGTCTGCCTCATATCTTGACTTACATCTAGAAATTGACAATGAGGGTCGGTTGAAAACAGAGCTTTACGACAAAAGAGATGATTTCAGCTTCCCAATTGTGAACTTTCAATTTCTATGAAGCATTATTTCAGAAGCGCCTGCATACGAAGTATATATCTCCCAGTTGATACGATATTCAAGGGCTTGTATTTCCAATCATGATTTCCTTGATAGAGGGTTACTACTCACAACGAAGCTATTAAACCAAGAGTTCCAAAAGGTGAAGTTGAAATCATCACTTCGTAAGTTTTACGGACGTCATCACGAGTTCCGTTATGGAATATCCGTTTCACAGATGATAGCGGATATGTTTCTAATGTCGAAACTACAATGCCGTCCCCTTTTCCCGAATGGTACCTACCCAATTTGACTGATTACCAAGTTTGTACTAACATGAGTAACACGACGGGTGCCATATGTGGCGCAGGATCTGCTTACCCTTCCGGAGCACCTGAAATCACCCCCAGGTTTTGGTGGGGTTCGTGTTGCTCGGTCTTTAGTTTTCTATGTTGTGCTTTTGTACTTTTGTTGGTCTGTTGGTCTTTTTTGGTATCCTTTTTAGCCATGGCGTTGTCAATTTGTTTTCGACTTATGATTTTGAATGTCCCTCTGGTATATTTCGCCTCTATTTTTCCTATCATTGTTGCAACTCTATGCACAATAAAACAATTTTTATAATAGAATCACATTTGAAAAGACAAGGAATATGTTATCTGCAATAACAAAAAAAAAGATTATTTCAGAAAGCGTTGCAAAGATACATATCGACGAGAAATGAAATAGATTTAAAGCATTCAATTATATAGGCGAATGAATCGTCAGTTGATATTTTACCAATAGATTGGATATTCCTTAGAAAATGCTTTTTGGTGCATGCATCTTTGTAATAGATTGGCGGTAAAACATGTTGAAACAGAGGCGTCTGTTTTTAAATGTATTTTTAGATGTAGTTGAAAATAAACAGTTGCCTGTCGGAAGTAAACTCAGAAAAAAAACCCAATATGAATAGAAATTATCATGGATCGATCACAAGTTGTTCCTTTCATATAGACTTAAGCAGATAACTTAATAACCGACGACGATCGAAAAGCTACACTTATGTCTCGCCTTCCGTGAATTTTGTCGCAGGCTGGAAAAAAACGAAACCTCGCGTTCAGCACTATATAGTAATTTGACCAAGTATTTATGTTCAATTGCTTTTCTTTTTCAATTCTGCAATTTTGAGAATGTATTCATTGCTATTGTGTCTGAAGTTTAAATAAAGTGA